GTAAGCCTGGGAAGGAAATGCTGTCCTTTCTGTCCTTCCCATGTGGATCCAAAAAAGGCCTCGGGTGGATCTCACAGTGTGTGGAAGGGTGATAACAGGAGTCAAGAACCTGTTAGCAAACACAGGAAGGTGAAGTATCTTCAGCTTTGCATTAGGACTGAATTCAGGGAAGAGTTCCCGTCCTGGGGGGCGGGGCAGGGAGCATCCCTACTGTTCCTTTCCAAGTACTCAACACCCTTCTCTCCAGTCTCTGGGCTCCTGCTGGGCTCTGTCCAGACCCTGGCCTGGCCCCAGAATGCAGAATTCGTGCGTCTTTTCCTAGGATACCCCCTCTGCTTGTCTCTGAGCCCCCCACCCCATGTTAGTGCTTCATTTCTCCATGGGAGCAGCTCAGGGTACCAGCGGTGGGCACCGAGAAAGGTCTGAATGCATGAGGTGGACTCAGGTCACAACTGAGACCTGGAGAGATGGAGAAAAGAAGAAATATTTCTGAGGTGGAGGAAGGAGCATGGCTGAGAGAGATGCTCAGAGTCAGACTGTCTCAAGGTGGGGGACCTTGGGTCAGGGAAGGGAAGCTGACATTTGTATTACTGCTTTTTCAAGTGTTTGGCTCTGTGTGTGTGTGTGTGTGTGTGTGTGTGTGTGTGAGAGAGAGAGAGAGAGAGAGAGAGAGAGAGAGAGAGAGATTCTAACATCAGCCCTGAAGGTGTAGTTATTCTCATTTCACAGATGAGGCAGGATACAAACAGGACTGTGTGACTTCTCAGCCTAAACTCATCAGTGGGTAGCCATAGGTTGGGGCCTTGGCTAAGTACCATATCACCGGACTCTGCCCTTAGTAGAAGGCAAATGTGTGGGTTGAGATCCCTCACTGTGGCCCCTCTGCTGGTCAGGAAATCCGGGCAGGCCATGACGGGCGGCTTCACACCCACAGTCCTTTACACATACACAGAGGTTCCCGTTTTCCACACCCCCTTGTTCTCTTCTGGTCCTTCCTGCCAACACAGCTCTTCTTTCAAGCTGGACTCCAGGTTTCCCTTTCTCTCCAGTCTTCTCACGGGACAGACCTGACCCTTGCTAACACTGGGCCTCCACCTCTCGCCAAGTCAGTACCCTACAAGTGCAGCGCGATGCTTGCAAAGTGAATCTCCATCCTCCAAGCCTCCCAGACGCCAGCTCCTTTCTTTCCTCTCTCTTACCCTTCCCACGGTGGGCTCAAGACTTTGCCCAGTCCAGCAACATTGTAGTTACAAAAGCCACCAGACCTCCCTCATGAGGAAGCAGGAAGAGCTCTGTCGAAGCTTGCTCCACACCCGGGTTCTGTATGGCTGGGCTTAGAAGTGCAGAGGGCATGGAGCTGGGCAGGCAGGGCTAGAAAGCCAGGTCACTAGGCTACCTTTGGGAAGAGGAGGTTTCCTGACTGTGCCACCCAAGCAGTGGACCAGCTGTGGAGAGTCCCCTGCTCTGACTGGTAGGAGAAGTGTCATTGTCAGTCATCACTGGACCCATTGCCAAGACATCTACATGGCAGACTTTATTTGGTACTTCCTTAGACTCTGCTCTGGGCAGGGTGGGGGTGGAGTGGGTGCAAAGGTGAATAAGATGTACCTTCTCCCCAAGGGAGCTCACACCCAGACATTTACAGAATAACAGAGGTAGCTAACGCTAGCTGAACCTGTAATGGAGGGCCAGGCACTGACCTCAGACTTTCAGAGGTGTTGAGAACTAACCGAACATGCTATTTTTAGCTCCATTTGACTTCTGGGGGTGAAGTACAGAGAAACCAAGTCACTCGTCTGAGGTCACAGTGAGTAAACTCTAAGCTTGTACTTACACTTAGTCCTTCATTTAGCTCTCATACCCTTGCGTCATCTAAGCCAACCCCAGTGTCATCCCAACCCGTACACCAGCTTCATCCCTACACTGTCTATCTGCAGGAGGTCATCAGGGTCTGTCAACTCATCAGTTGGCACAGCCCGGTTGTGGCTACCATTTGCTGCCTGCCCCTGGGACCTCTTTACCCACACACGGGCTTGTGTTGTCATCCTACAGAAACTTCCAGCTCCTCCGATGCTCCCATTAGGGCCCCTTAGAGCATCTTGCACAAAGCAAGCACTCAGTGTGTTGGCAGTTTGGTAGATGGTGGAAGATGCATTCGTTTCTCCAGGTCTCTGAAACAGGGGTGCAGTGGTCCCCAGCCTGTGCCATGGAATCCCCCGATAGTTCAACAATGCATGATGTACAGAACCTGTCCTAGAGATCTTAATGTAAATGATGCAGGATGTAGTCAGGGCACCAAGACTTTTTAGCACGTGGCCAGAAGTAACCCTATTTTAGAGATGTTGGGCAAAGGATGGTGGTGCACACCTTTAATCCCAGCACTCGGAAGGCAGATGCAGGTGGATCTCTGAATTTGAGGCCAGCCTGGTCTACAAAGAGAGTTCCAGGATAGCCAGACCTACACAGAGTTAACCTTGTCTTGAACAATAAAATTAAACTAATAATAAATAAAAAGAAATGTTGGGCTAGGTGTTGTGGTACACATATTTAATCCTAGCACTCTGGAGGCAGAGGCAGGTGAATCTCTGTGTTTGAGGCCGGTTGGGTCTACAGAGGGAGTTCCAGGACAGCCAGGGCTATGCAGAGAAATCCTGTCTTGAAAACAAAGAGATGTGGAAGTTTCAGTTGAAGTCAGACATTGGGAGAAGGAAAAACTTGTGCTGTGGAGGTGACTAGGCAAGATTCACATCACAGCTTGACCCCTCATGTTGTGTGAACTTGGGAAAAATTAACTGCCACGTGTCTCGGTTACCCTATCTGTAAAATGGGAGAATAACATTCACCTTGAAGTAAAATACTCCAAGTAAAGGCTTGGGAAGGCACATGTTAGAAGATATATGATGTGTAGTAGTTGTTAAAATTCATAACGTATTTGTCTATCCAATGTTTAATTTAAGATTTATTTTATTTTTAATTGTGTGTATATGTGTATATCTGTGTTGTCATATGCATATGTGAGTGCAGATGCCCTTGGAGGCCAGAAGAGAGTATCAATCCACTAGAGCTGTAATTACAGGGCTTGTGAGCTGTCCAACATGGGTTCTAACCCTGCTTTTTTTTTTCTTTTTTTTTCTTTTTTTTTTTTTTCTGAGACAGGGTTTCTCTGTGTAGTTCACTTTGTAGACCAGGCTGGCCTTGAACTCACAGAGATCTGCTTGCCTCTGCCTCCCGAGTGCTAGAATTAAAGGTGTGTGCCACCACCACCTGACTTCTTTCTTTCTTTCTTTCTTTCTTTCTTTCTTTCTTTCTTTCTTTCTTTCTTTCTTTCTTTCTAAAGATGGTCTGTTGCTCTGTTGCCTAGGATGGTTTTCAACTACTTAGATCAGGCAATTCTTCTGTGTGGGTCTCTTGGGTGCTGGGATTAAAGGTGCATGTCATCTGGCCAGGTTATCAGCATGTGATTATCTAGCATCTTCTCCTGGGGTGTGTGATAGCTAATATTCATAGTCATTTTGTCAAGACAGACTCATCTAGGACACACATCTCTGAGCATGTCCAAGAGGGGGTTTCTAGATTGAGTTAACTGAGGGGGAAGACTCACTCTTTATGTGAGTGGTACCATTCCATGGGTTGGGCTCCAGACTGAATGAAAAGGAGAAAGAGCTGAGCAAGCATTCATCTCTCTCTGTGCTTCCTGACTGGGAATACAGTGTGATCAGCAGTCCCATGCTCCTGCTGCCATGAAGGACTGAACCCTTGAACTGTGAGCCAGAAACAAACCTTTCCTGTAGTTGGTTGTTTTTACTCTTTTGCTCTTTTGGGGGGCCCGCCACCCAGCTCCCAAATAAACACACATGGAGTCTTATTATTACTTATGAATGCCCAGCCTTTGCTTGGCTTGTTTCTTGCCAACTCTTCTTAGCTTAAATTATCCTGTCTATCTTTTGCCTCTGGGCTTTTATCTTTCTCTATTTCTATATACCTTTCTTTACTTCTTACTCCATAGCTTGCTGTGGAGCTGGGTAACTGGCCCCTGGGGTCCTCCTCCTTCCCCTTTTCCTGCTTCTTGATCTCCTCCCGCCACCCCCCCCCCAGATTTCTCCTTCTATTTATTCTTTATACCTGATAGACCCACCTATTCTTCTGTCTTGCCTAGCTATTGGGCATTCAACTCTTTATTAGACCAATCAGGTGTTTTAGACAGGCACAGTAACACAGCTTCACAGAGTTAAACAAATGTAACATAAAAGAATGCAACACATCTTTGTATCATTAAACAAATGCTGCACAGCATAAGAGAATGTAACATGTCTTTTTTTAAAGATTTATTTATTTATTATGTATAGAATATTCTATCTGCATGCCAGAAGAGGGCACCAGAACTCATTATATATGGTTGTGAGCTGCCACATGGTTGCTGGGAATTGAACTCAGGACCTCTGGAAGAGCAGTCAGTGCTCTTAATCTCTGAGCCATCTCTTTGGCCCAAGAATATAACACATCTTAAACTAATACTCCACAACACTTTCCTTCCTTAAGTTGCTTTTGTTTTGTTGCAGAAAAGTAACTACTACCTGGAACAACAGAGAACAAGACGGTTGTGGTTTCTTCTTTTATGGCACTACATTTGCACTCAACATGCTTTTATTGGGTTTGGGATAGCATGTAATCTGTTAGTTCAAGATGGACAAGAGATTGTTTTTGCTCTTGTTGAAAGTGGATATTAATCTTAAGTAAAACATAAGAAGGGAAAGAACTAGAGTGACTATTAGAGGATGGACTCCAGGAATGCAGGAGCATAATGAAATACTTGTTTCGTATCAGCAAGGCTAGACTGGTTTGTCACACAGCAACAGCACTAAAGACAAGAGAGGAGGTATTTGGGACTGGTTGGAGGATGAGGGACCTCTCTATTGTGGTGGCACCTCACCACCAGGGGGTGTCCTCCTCTCTGCCCACTGACTTCAGAAGCCACCAGATGGTAGCTATTCCTCTGTAGCATGGTGTTCGAGAACCCCAGAACCTGTACAGACCTGAAAGGTCAAATGTGAAGGTCTGGGATCTGCCCAAACTCTAAGGCAATGATCAGAGTTGGGTGGTGCTGTCAGTGCCTCGGTATTGAAAAGACTGAGGGACAGTGTGCTCCTCTGGGTGCATTTTACATGTTACCATTCATTCTCTAGCATCACTAATGACTACACTGGAGGCTACTAAAAGAATTGTTCCCACTTCCTGGGAGTTGGGGCAGTGGGACTTCCTCAGGGTGTGTGTGCGTGCGTGGGTGATGAAGGGCAGAGAGAGACTGTTTTCTGGGCAGTTGGGTCGGGCTGTGTAGTGCCTGGAACATCAGCTCACTCAAGTTGATTCCCCACAGCTGGCACAGCATGTGACAGACAGGGCGGGAAAGAACGCAGGGGACCAGCCGGTCTCCTGAGCATCTGCGCCCTCACCTCGGGGCGGTCCCGCGGGGGTTCCAGCAGGGGGCGCCCCGAGCTCCGGGTCGAGTGTCCGGGCGCGCCTCCAGCCGGCGCCTGGGACGGGGCTGGCCGCTCCGCCCCCTCGACTCCCCGGCGGCTCTGCGGGAGGACGTCGGGCGCCGGGAGAAGAACTGAGCCGAGCACCGCGCACCCCGCTGCGCGCCGGTGTCCATCCTGCCCGCCGCACGCAGCGCAGCCTCTCGCCGTGAGTAGCGCCGGGGCCACAGGGCTCGACAGCAGCAGAGGCTGGGGTGGCGGGACATTGCCTGTCTAGGATAGGGCCCTTCTACGGTTTGTGCGCTGTGGCGGCACCCGGAGGCCAGTCTGCACGCTGCTACCTCGGGGTGCCTCCTAAGCTTGGCACTCCGATCCTGGAGACCCGGTGGGGGCACACGGCACCTGGGCAGGAGAAGGGAAAGAGCCTCTCATCAAGTTTGGCCCCCTCAAAGGGGACCAGTTCCGGATAGGAGAGAGACAAGCCCGGTCTCTGTGGGCTCACACCTCCTCCTCCTCCTCCCCTCGGCCCAGGAGGTTGCTTCCTGCGAAATGAACCTCCAGTGTGGCCTAATGAGCTGTGGGCAGGTGGAGGGACACTCCCTGGCGCCCTGTCCTCTAGTAACTGGGTGCTGCTCTTTTGATTTCTGACATTGGTTCCCAACCACCTTGGCATCCTAGGGGAATTTTGTTGACCAAGAGAAGCTGGCACCTTAACTGCTTCAGGGTTAAGTTTAAAGCCTGTTTTCCTCCCAACCCACCCCCTGTTAAGTTTTTTGGCATCGAAAGTGATGGCATTGATAACCCAGTAGCTTCCTCAGAGTAGGGGTCAGGAATTATCTGCTGCCCCCGGGGCAAGTTTCCTGCTGGAGGAATAAAAGCCAGCACCCTGACCAACTCCCTAGAGCCTTCCAGTCTGTCAGATGGGGAGGGGGGCAATCCTGCTCCCCAAGGAAGCTGACCATTCATCAAAAGACGGAGTTTTTCTCGTGTCAACTCAGGGAGGTGGCTGACCTTCTCTGAGCTCCAACTTCTTTATCAGGGATTGTCCAAAGAGGTTCTGTGATGCTAGAGTCCCTCCTTTCTGCTGGCAGCTTCCTCCGAGCCAGAGTCTGAGAATTCTTCATAGGGGTGTGTGTGTGTGTGTGTGTGTGTGTGTTCCAAAGAGTCTAAGAATTCATAGGGGTGTGTGTGTGTGTGTTCAAAAGAGTCTGAAGAGTCTTCATAGGTGTGTGTGTGTGTGTGTGTGTGTGTGTGTGTGTGTGTGTGTGTGTATTCCAAAGAGTCTGAGGAGTCTTCATAGGTGTGTGTGGGGGGTAGGGTGGTGTGTGTGTGTGTGTGTGTGTGTGTGTGTTCCAAAGAGTCTAAGAATTCATAGGGGTGTGTGTGTGTGTGTGTGTGTGTGTGTGTGTGTGTGTGTTCCAAAGAGTCTAAGAATTCATAGGGGTGTGTGTGTGTGTGTGTTCAAAAGAGTCTGAAGAGTCTTCATAGGTGTGTGTGTGTGTGTGTGTGTGTGTGTGTGTGTATTCCAAAGAGTCTGAGGAGTCTTCATAGGTGTGTGTGTGGGGTAGGGTGGTGTGTGTGTGTGTGTGTGTGTGTGTGTGTGTGTGTGTGTGTGTGTATGCCAAACCACTGCCTGCCCTGCCATAGCCTGGCTTCTCTTACTGGAATTGGGTGAGGTGGGGTGAGAAACTCAGAGAGTTAACATTGCAGGATGAGGTTGGACTATATGGGAAGGGAACGGAAGTGGGGTGGTGTTCCAGACCTGGGCACCTACTCCTACCTTGAAGTTGTCCCCCGAGAAGGCCACTGCCTTTCCAATCCTTGGAACCACCTTGAAGAAGTTGGGTAACTATGGGAAGCTTGACGGCCTAGCTGTGTGATGGTGGGCAAGTCCCTTCCCCTGTCTGGACCTCAGATTCCTCCTTTTGTCAAACAAGCGAGTTAGACCAGACCCCAGTGGGTTCAGACTTTTGTTTTGAGGTGAGTTTTTACCCCAAACCCCAGTCCACAGCAAGGATAGTGTGGGAGTGCTCTGGCCCACTTCCTCACTCTGCTGACTTCTGAACTGGAAAGGTATCAGTGAGGTCCCTTTCTGTGGGGTCCTAGGAAGTCTGTGTTACCACCCAGACTGTTGCTTGGTATTAGGGCCATGGGCAGGAAGGTGAATTCCCAAGGCTCCCTTGGGAGATATGTGGACACCCAGATGGGTGTCATCTTCAGAACGTCTGGAACTGGTAGCCTGATTCTCTGGTCAAAAGTTAGTCATATCTCTTGCCTGTGATATGTGGTTTCAGTTTTTCAAAGCTGGTGGCTATAATTCTACCTTAGAGTTGCTGTACATGACTCTGAGAATTTACCAATTTAAGTAAAATGCAAATTGATTTTGTGGAGGTGTTTGTTAGGTAGGAGAGAGTGCCAGTCCACCACTAGGTGTTTTACTTGACAGTGAAGTATCTGAGCTGTGGTCTTGAGAAAGGAGGCCGGGCACTAACTGCAAGCCAACCGTTTATAGAGTACTTGCTGTATATTCGCTACTACAAGGGGCAGAGGTGAGAATGGTACAGCCTTTGCCTTCATGGGGCTCCCAAAGCATTCCACACGTACCATCGCACTTACAAACAAAGTATATATTTACTAGGAGGCCGGAGAGATGGATGACTCAGTGGTTAAGAGCACTGGCTGCTTTTCCAGAGGACCTAGGTTCTGTTACCAGCACCCACAAGATGGCTCACAACCATCTTTAACTCCAGTTCAGAGGATCTGACGCCACCCTCTGGCCTCTTTGGGCACTACACACATGTGGTGCATAGACATACATGCAGGCAAAGCAACCATACATATAAAGATAAATAAATCTAAAAAATAAGTTTAATAGAGATATTAGTTTACTCTCACCACCCCCGCAGGGTCTCATATAGCCCATGCTGGTCTTGAACTCATTATGTAGCTGAGGTTGACCTTGAACTTCTGGTTCCTCTGCCTCCACCTCTAGAGTGCTGAGATTTTGAGTATGAGCCACCATGCCTGGTTTACGGAGTGCTGAGGATCGCAGCTACAGCTGCTTTGTGTCTGTGACGCAAGCACTCTACCAATTGAACCATATCCCAGCGCTTTTATCTTCCCATTTCTTTTTCTTTTTGGAGACAGGGTCTTACCTTGTAGCCCACACTGGCTTGAAACTCAAGGTATCTCCTGAGTGCTGGGATTACAGGTGTGTGCCAGCCACATCCAGTGCATTTGGTGCTGGGGATGGAAGCCAGGGGTTCATACATGCTACGTACATACCCTGCTAACTGAGATATAGCCTAGTCCTGTGGAGACGTTTTCTCCAAATTGACTCAGACAGTATATAATCTTTTTGTGGGCTCTGGTTTCCTTTGTTCTTCATGCTTGAGAGATCTGCCCATGTCATAGCACTTAGTGACTCCATTGTGTGTATATATCCAGTGGGCCTATCCATTCTTTTCTTGATGGTTCCAATTTTTAGTTGTTGCTAGTAGTTTAGTTGTTGACAAATGGGCCATACTGGAAAACAGCTGCACAGGTTTCTCACAGTATGTTCACAGAAACGGTTCCACAGGACTCAGAGTGTTTTTGCCCAGTGAGTATCTCCCCTGGCAGTGTCTGGGTGCTCTACACAGTCGCCACCATCAGGGTTGACTAGGCCTATTTTCCATGGAAGTTAGTTTGAAGCTCAGAAAAGCTATCTTGTGCTTCGTGAAGGTCACAGAGCTGGGGTTGGGTCTAGGCTTTGTCTTTTTCCCAAATTTATTTATTTATTTATTTATTTATTTTTTTGTTTTTTGTTTTTTTTGAGACAGGGTTTCTCTGTGTAGCTTTGCGCCTTTCTTGTAACTCACTTGGTAGCCCAGGCTGGCCTTGAACTCACAGAGATCCACCTGGCTCTGCCTCCCGAGTGCTAGGATTAAAGGCATGCGCCACCACTGCCCGGCGTCCCAAATTTATTTTTATGTGTATGAGTGCTTTGCCTGCATGTCATCTGTGGGCCACATTTGTGCCTGGTGCTCATGGAAGCAAGAAGAGGGTGCCAATTCCCCTGAACCTGCAGTTACAGATGGTTGTGAGCCGCCATGTGGATGCTGGAAATTGAACCCAGGTCCCCTGCAAGTGCTCTTAACCACTGATCCATCTCCCCAATCCCTTTGCTTTCCTTTTTGAGACAGGCAGAGAGATTATGATCTAGAATGAGAAAATTATAACCTGATCCTATTAGGGGGATTTTTCTAGAATTTGAAGAAGGGAAGAACAGAGTCACGGAGCCTCACAGAGAAGGTGGCACATGGGCTACTATCCCCTGAGGGAATGGAGCAGGTATCAGATGGACTTCCCATGGAAGGCGCACTCCTGGAGGTGTGACATGGCAGGGTGAACTGAGAGGACGGGAAAGAGTCACTGTGGCTGTAACACAGGCTGTGTGGAATGAGGAGGTGACCTGGGTCTGAATTCTCTTGTCCTCCACTGCACCCTGGTTCATTTTTCTGGGGGAAATTGGGGCTTCTGTGAATCCAGCTCAGCTCCTGATGGCAAATGGAGCTGGCCTCTCGCCACGGGAAGCTCATAGCTGTTCTGGGATCACGCGTGTTCCTGCCAACAGAACTTTGAGGTTTTCTGTGTTATCTGTCTGTGTGAGATCGGTGCCCTCCCCTAAGAGCTGGATGGATGGGTTATTTGGAAGGAGCTGGTTTCAGGGGTCTTGCTTCAGGGACAGTGAGAGTGAAGACAGGTTCAGTGTCCGATTCCGGTGGAGTCAAACTTCGAGTCGACTGCAAAACCTTTTCCTGAGAAGGGAGTTGAATTGATTGACTTCATGCCATGGGAAACAGAAACACAGTGGCCTGGGGCAATTTATGACAGTGAGACTATCCTCCGTATGCGTCCAGTATCTTACGTCATTTTGCGGTGGATCCACACAGTGGGATATGAAGTAGATGCTAGGATTGATAGGGTGTCTCCATTTACAGATGAGGGACTGAGGATGAGAAAGGGTGCCAGTCTGCTGTGGGTGACAGGGATAATCCATGCTAACCTAGTCCTGTGCCTAGGCTTGCTCTTTTTAATATCTGTGCATACTTAGGCCCACCCTGGCTGTACAGTCGACATGAAGGAAGAGGATACATGAAGGGTCATGGGTGTCCACCGCAAATGGCCCTAAAAGGGAGACCTGGGAGCCAGCCAGCTCTGTCTAGGGGTCTGAGGGATCTGTGTGTTTTGACAGAAAGGATGAAGGAGGGGGCATTTTGGTGATGGGGCTCTGGTTTGTGAGAAGGAGAAATGTATACACCCCCTGAGATCCAGAACAGCCCCAGGCTCTTGATGTTGAGACCGGTCCTATGTGATGATCCCTCAGAGGACAGTCTTTCAGGATCGTGGCTGAGTATAGTTGACATTTGATTGGCAGGTGGGAGAAAAGCTGCCCATGCTAGCCAAAATGGGCCGAGAGACCTTTGCTAAGGACCCTTGGATGATCCCATAGGCAGCTGGTCATATCTCTCTAATGGGGCCCTGCTCTCAGGGTACTGTCTTTAGGTGAGCTCTTTGGGTAAGGGGATTGCAAGGGAAGATACATGCCCCACAGTGAGGGCCCCCCTGTGACTCAAAGTGCCCTGTGTCTTTTGCTGAGGTGCCCTGTGTAGGTAGAGGTAGCTGTGTTCCATAGATGGAGAAACTGGGTTCCTCAGCCAGTGATGAGGTCACTCACAGAGCTAGATGTGGGTAGTACTGGAACCAGCACCTCAGGCTCCTGACTCCTGGTGCTCTTTTAATTTGTCACACCATCCCCACCCATGTTCTCTGTAAGGTGATGAGTGAGCATTTACCAATCCGTTCAGACTCGCCATCGGGTGGCCCAGCCCCCAAGGGAGCTGAGGTCATGATAATCCCTTGTCTTTCCACAGCACTTAATCGTTCACCAAACAATTTCATGACGTGAGATTGATTTTTATAGTATTGACCCCAATTTACAGATGGGAAAGCTACATGTCTGGTGACTTAAATAATTTACCCAGGCAAAACTGGGTCTTACATGCTGGGCATATATTCTACCTCTGAGCTGCATCCCTATATTTTGGCCTTTTAAAATATTTTATGTGTAGGAGTGTTCTACCTGCATGCTTATCTGCATATCACATGTGTAAATGGATTTTTCTTTGGGCCACCAGCTCACAAAACAAAACAAAACAAAACAAAAAAACAACCAAACAAAAAAACCCATGGAGACTTATTATTAACTCAGCCTTAGCTTAGGCTTGTTCTTAACTAGTTCCTATAACTTAAATTAATTCATACTTTTAAATCTATATTCCTTTATGTGGTTCTGTTATCTTTACCTGTATTCCCCATCCTGCTTCCTCTCCATCTGCTGATGACTCTGCCTTTCTTCCTCCCAGAGCGCTCTCTATCCAGAAGTCCCACCTGTACCTCCTGCCTAGCTATAGACTGTTTAGCTTTTTGTTAAACCAATTATAATGACCCCTCTTCACACCATGTAAAGGAATATTCCACAACACACATGTGCACAGTACTAGCTGATGCCAGAAGAGTGTCAGATCTCCAGAACTGGAGTTGCATATGATTGTGAGCCACTGTGGGGTGCTGGGAATTGAACCTGGGTCCTCTGGAAGGGCAGCAAGTGCTCTTAACCACTGACCCAGCTCTTCCAGCCCAGCCCTTGGCTCTTTGAGACAAGGTTTCACTGTTGAGTCTAGGCTGGCCTTGAGTCCTCCATCCTCTGGCCTCTCAGTGCTGGGATCATAGACTCCTGGGTGCAGACACCTCTTTTCTCAGTAGAACAAGTAGCTGAAGTTCCCGCGGTTCTGTTTCTCGGTGAATTTCTTTAGACTGAGCAGGAAGGACTCTCTGTCTCTTTCCTTAACAAGCTGGAGACAGGTGTAGTGGTGCATGCCTGAAATCTCAGCTCTGGGGAAGCTAGGGCAGGAGAGTGACTGCCAATTCAAGGCCAGCCAATGAGTTCTAGACCAGCACGGACTCCTAGCAAGACCCTGTCTCAAAAAACAAAAGACAGGGGGAAAAAAAAAGAATTAAGAAGAATCAAATCATGGGTTTGGGGAGATGGCTCACCAATTAGAACCCCTGCTCCTGCTCTTCCAGGGGACCTGAGATCCCAGAACACATGGAGGGGCTCACAACTGCCGGTAACTCCAGCTGCAGGGCATCTGAGGCCCTCACCTGGCCTGCTTGGCACCTGTACTTGTGTGCACATACCCACCTATAAACACATACACGTGCACATAAATAAAAATACAACTTTAAGAGAGGAATAAAAACTATGTCTTAGAGTTACTGTTGCTGTGGTGAAACACCGTGACAAGAGCAATGTGGAGAGGAAAGCGTTTGTGTGGTTTACACTTCCACATCACTGTTCATCACTGGAGGAAGTCAGGGCAGGGACTCAAACAGGGCAGGAACCTGAGAGACAGGAGCTGATGTAGAAGCCACGGAGGGGTGCTGCTTACTGGATTGCTCACCATGACTTGCTGAACCCAGGACCACCAGCCCAGAAATGGAAACACCCACAATGGGCTGGGCCCTCCCCCATCAATCCCTAATTAAGAAAAATGCCTTAGAGCCAGATCTTGTGGAGGCATTTTCTCATTTGAGGTTCCCTCCTCTCAGATAATCTAGCTTGGGTCGTTGACATAAAAGTAGCCAGGACACTATACATCATCAGCCACACATGAGACGCTCACACAGACCAGTTCTTAAGGAATCAAGGCTGTGGGTAACTTAAACTCTTTTCTCACTTGTAGTTGGTTGCTTTTCAAACCCAGACTTGTAGGCTTGTGCTAATTAGCATGGCCATCTTAAGCTTAGGTTTCTTTCCATTTCAGGATTGTCTGGTCCAGGCCTCGATGAGGAGCCCAAACATGGAGACGTTCAAGCAGCAGAAGGTGGAGGATTTTTATGACATCGGAGAGGAGCTGGGGAGGTAAGAGATTGAGTGAGAGGCGGAGGGGTGTATGTGGACCCACTGACTGTTCTGTTGGTTGATTGGTGTTGTAAAGCTGGGCTTGTCACAGGGTTTTTGGGAAGCTTTCGAAAGAAGCCTGAGGTTCATTCATCCTCATGGGCGTCTCTGCAGCTCTTGTCTCTCTGGAAATGACGTCATGACGTCAGAAGTAGTGCACCGCTGGGGTCTGTGTTTTCGGTATACTCTGACAGCTATGGGAAGTCTTCATGAAATCTGTCACTCCCCCACCCCCCATAAAGCCCTCTCTCCAGGTTGGTTAGACATCTGACCTGTTGGTCTTTGTTTTTAGTGTCCCGTTGGGATTCTCCATGGTTCCCTAGGATTTTCTTTTTTAAGCAGGAGCCTGAACGGGAGGTGAAGTAATCCTCCTGAAAAGGGATTTGTATTGAGTAACAGCCTTACCAGCTTCATCAGGAAGTTTCTGGGATCTGAGTTGCTGTGTTTGCTCAGCCCAGAGCAGGGCTATGCTAAACTTTCTCATCTCAAAGTCACTATTTTGTGAGGGGAGAAATGAGATTTTCTGAAGCCTCCCCCTGGACTTCCATTTCTAAAAATGGCTAATATTTAGTGGTCACAAAACACCAACCCCAGAATCCTGGTCTCCAAACCATATAGGGGATGGCAGTTCCCTTCACTCTGGTCCTCCAGGTAGGAGACTGTGGGACAGGGCTTGAGCGAGTTTCTCAAAGTTGCTGAGGGCAGCAAGCCACACAGCCAGGGTTCTGAGCTGCTCAGTCTGTCCTGCACACTCGTCCCACTCTCTCCTGTGAGCAAGGCACTTGCACACTCAAATGTTCCCCAAGGCACTCCACCTCAGCCCCTCACACACCCAGCAGAACAAAACCATGGGGTGTTGAGGGTGCCCATGGAACCAGACAGGTAAAACAGGAAGCTTTTCTCCTTCTATAGAACTGTTGAATTAGCACGAATTCTTCTATCCTTTGTTTTAAAGGCAAACAGAACAAAGCCAGGGGGCCTTCTCCAAGATGAGAGTGAGCGGCGGGGAGGGGGCACAGATCAGGGGGTAACAGATGTGGCAGGCTGGTTGAGTAGGGAGCGAATGTCTGTCTGTAGACTTCCAGGACTCCTCAGCTTACTAATCTTGAGCCTAGAAAAGGGTTTGAGAAGGATAGAGGGCAGAGGCTTTGGGGCCCTTGCTGGAGCCTCTCTCTGAATGGAAAATCAGGGTCTCTCTGCCACAGGCCCTTTTGCACTTCAACCCCACCCCCGACCTGGGAAACAGCATCTCCTGGCAGGGAGGGACCTGCTAGAGGTGTCTGAGTTGGTGTCCTCGCCTTAGCCCGTGTTCTGTCCCGTGGGTACAATGACAGCAAGGTATTAGGTGTCCCTCCTAGAGCTCCAGCCTGGCTAGAGGCATGCCTGATAACAAGGCCAGGGTGGGACTGGACTAGTGTCTGAGGGGCAGAGGACCTGAGAAGGTGGCTGAGCAAGGGCCCTGGAGAAGCATGCAGAGGTTGTTCCTGGAGAATTTTTTGTATCATTCCCTCTTTGCCTTGGCTCTCCACCACTTTGGACATGAGCTGTTAGAACCGGGAGGCAATCATGTTTTCCAGCCCCCCCTCGCTGCAAGTGTAAAGGCTGCATGTCCCTCGCCTGGGATCCTCCCTCCCCAAAGTGCTGGCTAGACAAAAGGTTGGTAAGAGTCATCCGAGACCTGGGACCCGTGGAGTGCTCAAACATGCTAGGACTTGGCTTAGTTGAGCTAGAAGGCCATTAAAAGTCCTTCCTCGGGTTGGGGATTTAGTAGCTCAGTGATAGAGTGCTTGCCTAGCAAGCGCAAGGCCCTGGGTATGATCCTCAGCTCAAAAAAAAAAAAAAAAAGTCCTTCCTTCTAGGATCCCCCATTTGACTGTGGTTCAAGGTGGTAATGGGTCCTGCAGGGGGCCATAGAGTGGGCTGGAATTAGAGCTGCTTTCGGGTAACCACACAGTTTTTTTGAGGGGTGGGATGTGCTAGAGGACCCAGCCCAGGGTGCTGTCGCCACTCACTGAGTGATGCTCTTAGCCCAGGACCACTCAGCTTATGGAAAGGTTGGTCCTGCTTTCGCCACCTGATTCTCTTCACTTAACACGGTGAGGACCTACTGTGCCAGGCCTTGCCTGAAGCAGTGGAAAGTAGAGCACGTGTCCTGTCTTCTTGCAGTCTGTGATTTATTGGTGTAGAGAGTCACTAACCAAGTGGATTACAGGGGTGAGTCATGGTCAGGTCAGATATGAAGGGGAAGGACAGAGTGCTCGGAGGGAGAAGAATGGGAGACATATTTAAAACAGGCTGCTCAGAAAGGCTGTTCTGGGCTATGGCCCCAGTGCTGAGTACAGAGACTTGTCTGTACACACAAGTTCGGCTCCAGCCTGCTCACAGTGCTGGAGGTTGTCTGCTGTTTCTAGAGTGTTTAGAGAAATGCTAGCTTATGTAGTTTGGCCTCTTCCAGCCTTCATAACTACCAGTGAGGCAGAACAGGGGCCTGGAGCAGGCCTCCTAAAGAGAATTCCATCCCATTCATTATTTTATAGATGAGGTTAAGACTGGTGGCTTGTCCAAGATCACAGAGTGAATGTGTGCTGGAGTGAAGGTAGGGACTGGTCATCTAGTTTGGGGTCCTGGCCTTGAGGGAACATAAAGACCCCCCCCAACACAAAACCATTTTCCTGCCGGGCGGTGGTGGCACACGCCTTTAATCCCAGCCCTCGGGAGGTAGAGCCAGGCGGATCTCAGTGAGTTCGAGGCCAGCCTGGTCTCCAAAGCGAGTTCCAGGAAAGGCGCAAAGCTACACAGAGAAACCCTGTCTCGAAAAACCAAAAAAAAAAAAAAAAAAAAAAAAAAAACCATTTTCCTTTATTTGAATGCTTCTGGGGAGTGAGAGAGAATATATAGTAGGGTGGTTATTTTCTTTTCCTTTGTCTGTTTGACTTTGGGGCCAATGTTAGCAACATAGTAAGATTCCTGTGTCTCAAAACTAAGAGCCAGGTGTATGGTGTACACCCTCATCTTGGTGCTTGGGAGGCAGTGGGAGGATCTCTGTGTGTTGGAAGCCAGCTGGTCAGTTACCTGGTAAGATTCTGTCTCAGAAAAAAAAATCCACATTAAATCATCAGCTATTTTTATTTCTGAGTCCTTTCCTCTAATCTTGCCAAGGGTGTTTCTCGTGCTTTTATACACCCTTCTCCTGTGAGTCCACTTGTGCATGGAGTTCACATTCCTCCAAGTGCTACGGAGGCCCAGAAGGCAGAGGAGCAGGCAGCCCCGGGAGAGGCCAGGCATGAGATCAGGCCTGTCTCACCTTGGTTTACGCTGGATGCTTTGATGTCAGGCCCACCTCTCGTTTCCTATCTTAGGCATCAGACCACACTGAAGCTAAGGCCAGAGGTCCCCCAAACTTCTGTGACTTGTTTTTGCCCTTGCTGGTCCCTTCACTCTTAAACATTATACTTTTAGGGCTCAGAGGTTAAGAGGCTGCTCTTCCAAAAGACCTCAGTCACACCTTTGCTCTCTCTCACAAACCCTGGAATTCAGCTAGAGTGGAAAACACAATGCAAAACACTTCCCTCCACAGAACACCATCAATAGTTTGGTTGAAAAAAATTACGCATTTATTTATTTATTTATTTCTATTTATTTATTTATTTATTTATTTTTGGTTTTTCGAGACAGGGTTTCTCTGTGTAGCTTTGCGCCTTTCCTGGGACTCACTTGGTAGCCCAGGCTGGCCTCGAACTCACAGAGATCCGCCTGGCTCTGCCTCCCGAGTGCTGGGATTAAAGGCGTGCGCCACCACCGCCCGGCACGCATTTATTTTTATGTGTGTGAGATTGTGGGTATGTGTACATGAGTACAGGTGCCCTGGAGACTAGATTCCCTGGAGCTGGAGCTACAAGAGGTTGTGAGCTGATCAACATGAGTACTGGGTACTGAGCTCAGGTCCTGTGTAGCAGCAGTAGATTGTAATCCGAAGCCATCTCTCCATTTAATTCTTTTAATTACTCACTTACATTTTTTTCTGTGTGTGTGTACATACATAGGAAGACAGCGGGAGGTGGTTTTTCTCCTTCCATTATGTGGTGGATCCTGGAGTTTGAACTTAGGTCGTCAGCCTAGGCAGCAGGTGGCTTTTTCCACTGAGCGATCTTGGCAGCCCCTGTATTTACTTCTGACACCATTATGTGATACAGATCCTATCTCCATCCTGCAGATGAAGAAGCTCAGCCTCCAAAGCATTGAGTAACTACCTCAGGCAACAGAACTGTGGGACCAAGAAGTCAAGTGGGAAATTCCGCTGTGACACAGCAAGCCTCAGAGAAAATCGGGGCTGAAAACCAGGGACTTTCTCTAGGCAGAGAGTCCTGTCCCTCATTCTGATCTGGCGGTTTTTTTTGTTTGTTTGTTTGTTTGTTTTTTTGTATTTCCTGCCTCTGAGAACGTGAAGTGGCCTCATGTCAGGGATCTGTCCTTGTCAGCCTGCTCAGAGTCCACGCTGTCCTTGCAGAACAATGCAAGTGGCCTCAACGTCCCCATTTAACAGTTGAGTTAAACAAGGGAATGAATTTATATTCATGGTCACAGTCTGAGAAGGACCACCAGGCCTCTGTTCTAGGACTGTCACACTGGAAAGCTCATGTTCTTTTTAGATTTATTTATTTTATTTATGTGTATGAGTGGACACCTATGCCTGTCTATGTGTACCGTGTGTGTGCCTGGTGCCCCTTGGAGGTTAGAAGAGGGGGTTGTTTCCCTCTGTCACTGGAGTTATGGGTGGTTGTGAGCTACCATGTGGGTGCTGGGAGCTGAACCTGGGACCTCTGCAAAAAAAAAAAAAAAAAAAAAAAAAGTGTCCCTAACTGCTGAGCCATGCCTCTAGCTCCCTGACTCCATAATTAAATCAGAATTGGTCCAGGATATTCTTAGAGGCCATTTATTCTGGTAGAGGCCAGGGCGGTGAG